CTCAGCCCACGTCAGAAGTGAGAGGTTCATTGGATCTCTACTCGGATCCAGGGCATCTCTCTCAGCGTGATGTGAACTTCTCCTGAGGGTTGGCTGTGTTGTTCGTGAGTGCTGTTCTCAGCCTTTATCTCTAAAATCCAGCTGCCCTCAACATTAGCGCTGCCAGGAAAGTGCTAGTTCATATCTAGTTTCTGCAAATGCAGAGGCAGGGTTGTTCAATCACTTGCCTGAGCCCAAACCTCTCGGGAAGTGCTGTGACTGTGGTTACAGCTCCGATCTCAACCCAGATTCCAAACTACTCGGTGAATGGGAAGCTGGGCCTTAGGTCGAAGAAGACCTTTGCTTCAATAATGGGAGGATTTGACAGTAGTCTTCTTTTTCATGGCTGCTGCAGAGAAGATCGCTGAGAACAGCTTCAGAAAAACTCAAAAACCGGACATCTTTCTCTACCAATGTGGTCTACACCACACCCAGCACACGTGTCAACAGGTATATCAGCCGCCTCTTGGAAGCTCGGCAAACAGAGTTGGAGATCGCAGACTTGAACGTCTTCACCCTGAAGTATAAGCATGTTGAACGAGAACAAAAGGTGAGTGACTCTGGGCCTCAACTGTAAGTCAAACCCCGAAGGACCTGCCAGGTGTTGGGTAGACATTCTAGACTGTCTTTTCTCTTTGGGGATGGGCGATGTTCTTCCGGGACAGCGTGCCAAGTGATGGTGAGACTGCGTGTTGTTTAGTGGGTTGTGACCACTTAGCGTTTCGTGTCTCTCTCTCTTAGTACCACCAACTTCAGGACGAGTACTTCACCAGTGCTGTTGTTCTCTCACTCCTTCTGGCTGCCGTCCTTGGCCTTGTCTACCTTCTCATTATCCCACAGTAAGTGCTACCCCTGTGGCATCGGATTACCCGGGAAGGCCTTGAAGCCTGCATGTTGCTGGTGTTGGCGATTGTGTTTTCAGGGTTAATCTACTTGGTAGTCCTACCTGGGCTGCCGCTGTGCAGCACTGGGGGAAGCCGTCAACCACCCATAAATTATTCACTCAGGCAACAAATAGTTTTGCAAGTCTTGATGACAAGTAGTGCCCAACTGCCCAGTCTTTATTTCTAAACTACATGTATGCTACTCTAACATACCATGTATCTTCAGTTTTGTCACTAATGCAAGATGCGCTGCTGTCTTCATAGCCTTTTCAGGAGAAAACAATTCACTGAATGGATTAGTTTGTATCCCTGTTCATGGCCCTTCCAGAAACATTCAAATTAGAAGTACTTTTAAAAATGTACTTAATAAATATAGTCCATTTATAATAAAATGTACAAATATAGTACAAAATGTACAAATAAATATAGTAATTTCAACAATAAATTAAAATAAATTCAAAAATTGAATAAATATAGTAATGTCAACAATAGTTAATCATTAGGTAATTAAAGTAGCTCGGCTTTTTTGTTTTCTGGTAAGGAAAACATCGGAAACACTTCATTTCTTACTTTTCTTCAAGTTGTACCATATTTTTAATAAAACTTTTATAGGGGGAATAATATCTCCCTGGAGCTTCCAGAAAACAAATAGAAGCTACCTCATACCTACTGAGAAAGACATCCCTCATGGATGTGTGAACACACTCCATCTACACCTGCGCAGGTACAACACACAGGGACCAGCTTCCTTACTGTATCAGAATCCATATAGTCAGCTTTTCCTAGCAATATCCTTCCCAGGTACAGCTCAACAGAAGAGCAGAGAAGACTTGGAGTCTAGAAACATCCAGTGTTTCCTGGAAAGAAAGGAGGCTCTATCAAAATTGGTGGCCCTCAAACCAGGCTGAGATCAGGTGGTGGTTGGTGGCTGGATGGGATGGAGTGGATGTGAGAAGGGTCTTGCTCAACTGTCTATAGAGAATAACCAGCCATAGGCATGTCCCCAGAGACACGGAGGTAGGCAGCCTTCCTGGGAGGAGATCTGTGGTATATATTGGTTGGGAGAAGAGGAGGTTGGTTCCACCTGACCCTCAGCCAGCAGTGAACTGTCTGTTCTGTCTTTCCAGAAGCCTAATCGTCCTGGTCCTGCTTGTGTTCTGTGTTTGCTTCTTGATGGCATGTATCATGTATCTGCACATCACTCGAGTCCAGGTATGTGTATGGCTCTCTCTGCCTCTCTTCTCAGCAAGATTGTGGGAAGGGCAAGCCGAGCACATTTGCTCATTGAGCAAGTGTGGCGTGCCCACACCATGTGGACTTTTGTGAGTGTAAGAAACGGTTGGGGTGGTAGTGGTGATGAGTGCAAGTGAATTAACTCACAGTTCTGACCCTTGTGCACCAGGAGCAGAAATCTCACAGGGACACAGGAGATAAATAGTTTCTGGTGAATTCAGTTCATAGATTCAAAGGGCAAGACAAGGAGATGGTATTTCTCTAGGAAGCCTTTCTATCCTGATCAACAACTGAGATCCCAGCACTAGTTTTTCTCTTACCTTGGTTCTTGCAGGTGTTGAGAACATAGGATTTGAAATTGCTGCCTTGTACAGCCTGTAGCTCTTTAGAAATATTTCTCTATTTTCCTACTGTATGAGTTCCTGGTTAGGGAATATGGTTAAGCACTTGACTGGTAACCAATAGGTTGGTTGTTTGAATCCACCCAGAAGGACGCACACGCACACGCGCGCGCACACACACACACACACACACACACACACACACACACGGACCTGTCAGTCTCCTTCTATGGTCACAACTATGAACATCTTAGGGAGCACAGTTGTACTCTGACACACACATCACTGCTAAGAATCCAAAGTTACTCTGCTGGAAATGGTTTGGAATTGTTTTTTGTTTTTGCAGTTTTTTCATTATATATTTAACTTTCCTTTACATATGTCCCATTCTCCTCAGTATGCCCTTAAATGATCACATCTAGCCCTTCCAGAGTTGCTTTTTCTGGCCTACTTGTTGAAAACATAAATTTCTTGAAGAGTTCCAATCTAATTTATTCATTTAACGTCTTAAGTATTTCATAGTAGTGTCTTAAATTATTTATTAAGGAAAAAAAAACACACCTTAAAACCAGATTTCCAGCTCAGTGACCCTTCTAGATTGAGTCATACTGAGTGATGAACATTGAAATGATCACCTTCAGATAGGATCGTCTTACTCATGAGATTCCAAGCGAATGCACTACAATATATGACGATTCCTAAAGCCTATGACATCTACCCCCAGAATTAGGAACCTGTGCACCCAATTCTACACTGATAGCATGAGATATGGAGAGAGAGAGAGAGAGCAGTTAACTGCTATGGGAAAACAGCAAATACAAGAGGATGGTTGCTACATTAGAGCCACACAGTGGAAGAATGCCAGAAATAGTGGTTTTCTTACATAGATTTCTTATACCTCTGTTGCTTCATTAAAGCATCCCAAACAAGATAGAGACCATCTGTCCATAAATATAGCATTGAACCACTTTCCTTTGTGGCTCGAGAGATAGCCAGAATGATTCTAGGATGATGGCGTAAAACTGGAGCGTCTAGATTATCTCACATAACCCCTCTCCTTCTGTGATATTTGGTCCTCTTGGTAGGCCATACCCTGGGCTCAGTTGGCTTCTTTCTGAATGTTTACTTGCATCTCTTCACCCTCAGCCCAGGAATGAAAGCATGAAGCACCACACCTCCCACCCACCCACCCAATTATGTGCTTTTGAAGCATCAAGCTTGCAAAACCATGGGGTTCTCAGTGTTCCTACAGCTAGAGTCAGTCTACATTAACTGTTATTAAAAAGTAAAGATTAGATACACTTTTGGACTTTGAGTAAAATATAGCAGCATAGACAGATGCACTACTTGTTCCCTCCACAACAAAAAAGCCAGAAAGTACAGGTGGAGGAGAAACCTGGAGCCTTGACTGTCTGAGGAAAGTACAGCTGAGTTGGCCAAAGCACACAGGGAAACCAGGGAACAGAATTCACAAGCAGTCATCAGTGATTGTCCACTTGCTGGAAGTAAACTGCTTGAACTATAGCACTTGAAAACCTCTCTCTGTCTCCTCTGAGAATAACCGGGGACAACTGAGATTTACCCCCAGCCCTGCTACCAGCAGAACAACGTCTCCTATATTGTAGAAGCAACGAGAGAGAGGTGGACACCCGTGGCTCCTCACACCCAGAAGCCCCAGAAGCTGGTTGTTACCTTCACAAATATAAGGCGGCCAACAGTCTGTCAAAGGACAGACCAGGTAGAAAAGCCGCACTGCATGGGAGGGACAGTGAAACTAACAAAGGGGCACTGAAACATTTTGGTTTCCTCACAGCTGACTCCCCAGGGCTCCAACCCAAGAAAGTGAAAAAACTTGATAAAAAATAATCATAAAAACACTAGTAAATAGTAAAATAACAGTAAAGGGAAAAAATGACCAAAAAATTGACAAAGCGAAGGAGGGATTCAACAGAAATTAATGGAGAAGAAACTACCACCACCAAGTCACGAAATATGAAAATTACAAAGCCACATGAGACCAACAAATCCATATAGATCAGCAATGAAACTGAATTGAATCGAACACACCAATCAAGAGTCAAACAGTAAGAGAACAGATAAAAAAACAGGACCTATAAGTATTATGCTTGCATGACACGTACCATAGACATAAAGATAAAAACTGACTAAAATCAAAATATGGGAAAAACAATACTAGCAAGTTAATGGCAACCAAAAAAGCAGGAGTGGCAATATTAATCTCTAATAATATAGGCTTTAAACCAAAATCTATCATGAAAGACAAAGAACATAATGATTAAAGGAACAATTGAGCAAGAAGATATAACCATAATAACACCTATGAACCCAACAAAGAACTAAATAAGGTAATCAACTTGACCTCTTTGACATATACAGAACACCACCCATCAGCAGCAAAAGCTACATTATTTTCCAGTGCACATAATTAACGTTCTCCAAATTACACCCTAAGTTAATCCACAAAGTAAAACATTTAAAAACAATGACATATTGCAAAACATTTTTCCCGAGCAGGAAACAAAATTTCATAACTGCATGCTGTTCTCTTAAATCAGCTGTCACAAAAAACATGGTTCGAGTGAAACTGCGTTACAAAAAAGTTCACAGTGACCAGAGAGAACCTTCCCAGGCGATGCCACTGGGTGCACTAACTCAGAACAAGTTGCTTGATTCTCCCTTGTGGAAAAAAATGTGTATTCTGAACGCTCCACCCAGGGGAGCTTTTTTCCTGTTTTTTTTTTTGGGGGGGGGGGTACCCCCTCATGCACCAATCAAATCCTCATAGAGTTGAAGAGAGCAATAGCTTTACAACAATAGTAGTCTCCAACTTCCTCAAGGAAATGCAGATCATCAGGAAAGAAATTTAATTAAGAAACAAAAGCTAAAGAACACAACCAACCAGCTTGATCTCCTAGACATGTACAGAGCACTCCACCCCAAAATAACCCAGTGTACATTCTTCTCCAGCACACAGGGTATGCACTCTAGAACAGACCACATGCTCGGCAACAAAGCAAGCATTAATACGTTAAAAAACATGGAGGACCAAGAATCCGTTTTCATTGATCACAATGCTGTAAAACCAACAAAAGAAAGAACGGGAATGAAAAATGAAACACATGGAGGCTGAACAACATACTACTTAAAAAATAACTGGTTGTTAGATCAAATAAGAAGTAAAATTAAGAAATTCCTTGAAATGAACAGGTGCAATAAGACCTTTGGGACACAGCAAAAGCAATTTCCAGAAGGGCAATCGACACACACTTCTAAAAAAGACAAGAAAAACAAGCAATTGGTTCTTAGAAAGTATCAACAAAATTGACAAACTGCCGGCAAGTTTAACAAAGGAACAGAAAGCGAAGATTCAAACATCTGGAATTAGAGATGGAAAAGGTGACATCATAACAGATCCAAATGGAATAAAAGGAATAATACATTATTATAAAGGACTGTACTTCAACAAGTGTACTAACCTAAAACAAATGAACAAATCCCTAGAAATATGCAGTCTTCCAAAATCATCACAGATAATTGTAGGAAACTTTGATCCATAATGAAAGAAGAAATAAAGATAGTCATCAAGCAAGTTCCAACCAAGACTTTGAAGACTCACCGCCTGAATTTGTAGTCTTGTCTCATCCTGTTACATTCAGCCATGGTCAGCCCTGCTGTGTTTTTCGACACAACCATCCACAGAGAGCCCCTGGGACAGATCTCTTTGCAGCTGTTTGCAGACAAAGTTCCACAGACAGCAGGAAATCTTCACCCTCTGAGCACCGGGGACAAAGGATTTGCTTATAAAGGTTCCTGCTCCCACAGAATCATTCCAGGGTTTATGAATCAGCGGGATGATTTCACAAGCCATAATGGCACCGGTGGCAAGTCTGTCTATGGGGAAAAAATTGATGATGTGCTTGACCCTGAAGCACACATGGCTTGGCAGCCTGTCCATGGCAAATGCTGGCCCTGTCTATCTAATGGCTCCCAGGTTTTATCTGCACCACTCCGACTGACTGGTTGGGTGGCATGTGGTCTTGGTGAGGTGAAAGAGGGCATGAGTATTGTGGAAGCCAGAAAACAACATACATGACTGCACCCAACTGAAAATAAGATACTTGTGTGCATCAAAACATTTCATCAAAGGAGATCCCAGGGGATGGGAAAAGAATCTTTAGCAATAACACAATAAACAAGGTAGTAAATCCTGAACTCCATAGAATTCTGCAACACCTCAATAAGAAAAAAACAAAAAGTTCAATGAGAAATTGGGTGAAAGATACACAGTTCACCAAAATGACACTTAAATGGCTAAGAAACACATGAGGAAATGCTCACAGGCCCTTGCCACCTGGGAGGGGCAAATCAAAACAAGGATGCAATATCACCTTATACCCACAAGGATAGCCCAATTCAAAAAAAGAAAAAAAAAAGAAAACAATAAATGCTGGAGAGGGTTGGGGAGATCGGAACTTATCTATTCCTTGTGTGCTTGTAAACATGTATAATCATGGAAAGTGATATAGCACTACCTAAAACAATTGGGAATAGAAATGCCCTGCAATTCAGCAATACCTCTGCTGGGTATGTACCCCAAATAGGTGAGAGGCAGAACAC